TTATGCGCATTTTATGCAGATTCAAATTTTCCATGAAACGCGTGAGAATCAGCAATCAAGTAACGATTCTGATATATGTCGTGCTCACGTGAAACAAAGCGAGTTTCTACGTAGAACTATAAAAAAAAGAAAAAAGAAAAATAGCTGTTGAAACACTCTATAACAAATTTATTGAACGTCTCGTCGTGCTTTTAGATTTTATCTCGTTGAAGATTTGAAGATCGTTTTCTATTGCAATTAGAAAACATTCAATTAAGATAAGATGGAGTACCCGAGAAGTTCTTTGAAGTTTCATTCGTGTCTCACGGACAGTGATCGATAGCAATAAATGGCCGATTAATCTCAACAGTTCGGTTTCTTCTTTATTACGGCTCCCGTTTGCAATTATTTTCTACGAAGCTGACTTTTATCATACCCTTTAAACTTTAAAATGGGTAAAACTAAATGAAGAAACTTTAATTGAACTTTACTTAAATGTTTCGAAGAGCAAGGAATATATAGGTATTTATCCAATGAATTTAATTCTCATCGAATGAATTTAACTTTCAATGAATTATTTTCGTGATTGTCAAAAGATACACGTAAAACTCGTAGTGATTTATGTATGAATTACGATATCGACATAATGGTATAACTTTACGACAATTTTCTGATTTCAACATCTGTTCGCGTAATAATATTATCGGTGTGCCTCGCTAGAGAAACACAATGATAGTAGCAAGAAAGTGAATAAAGTCAGGTTACTATCGCTCGCAATCAATGCTCTATCAGTATAAACAAGAGAATATTGTATATATATCTAACCGAGATTTTATCTATCTATCGCCATCTATCTATCGTTACGGAGAATTACTTTGAATTTTATTTTACTTTGAAAGAAATCGAATCTATCGACGTTAAATTTCAGAAAATACGAGTTACTCGTAATTCTTACAGTTAAGTGCGTGACTTCGTTGGAGAAATTTTTACCAACAATTTTTCTGAAAATTGCCTTGGAAGAGATATATTAATCTCGTAAAAGTTGAGTGTCTGAAATTGCATCTTAATATCGTTGATTTCAAATTTTCAAAACAGCAATGTCGAGGAGTTCTTCATCAAGACATTCAGGTCGATTGTTCGTAGGATATTCGTATTGATTTTCGAATAAAGTCAACCTGACGCCGATAAAGTCCAACAGCCGCTGTAAATCTCGACTAAAAATTCAATGAAGTAATTTCGAAGGAGATATTTTCGCAACGGATGCTGACACACAACGAAAATCCCATTTTCGTATCTCCTTCTGTTCCCGAGAAATGCCGAGAGAAATTCACTCGAAACGAAGTACGCAACGCAACAGAATGAGAACGTTAAAACGACAACGGAAATTAATTCACTCCGTATAATAAGCTCGTTTTCCAAAGCTTGCG